GGATCCCCTGAAACTGGAATTACAGACAGTTGTTAGCTGCCATGTGGGTGCTGGGATTCAAACCCAGGTCTTCTACAAGAACAGCCATTGTTCTTAACTGCTAAGCCATCTCTCCAGACCCAAGATGATATTTTTTTGATTGTTTTTTGTTTTTATTTTATGTGTATGAGTGTGTTGCCTGCATGTATGTAAGTGCACCCATGTCATGCAATGCCTGCAGAGGTCAGAAGAGGGCTTTGGAGTCCCCTGGAACTGGAGGTAAGGATGGTTTGTAGCTGCCATGTAGGTGCTGGGAACCAAACCCGGGTCCTCTGCAAGAGCAGTTAGTGCTCTTAACTGCTGAGCCATCTCTCCAGCCCTGATATAATTTTAATTTTTAATGCACTTTTGCATGTGTATGTGTTTGGGTGCACACATGCCATGCAGCATACATGTGTAATTCACAGGACAGTTTGCTGGAGTCTCTTCTGTTTTTTCACCACGTAGCTCCAGGGACTGGACTTAGGTTGTCAGAGTTAGTGACACGTACCTTTACCCACTGAGCTATCGTGGGGGTACAATTTTAATATTTTTAAAGGTATACTTTAACTTATATTTCTCTGATTACCAGACTTAGGAGAGAAGCAATAACCTGAAAATCCTTTTGGTCTAAACTGGGAAGTAATGTTTGCTTTATTCCCTTCCCTTAGTCTTTACCAGCCATTGGTCATTTAATTTTAGACTACTAAGTAACTGCTACTATGAAATTATAATTTAAGTTACATTTAAAAATTAGAGTTAAGGGCTAGAGAAATGGCTCAATGGTTAAAAGCAGTGGCTGCTCTTGCAGAGGACCTACATTTGATTCCCAGCACCCACATGGTAGCTAAAAACCATCCATAACCTCAATTCCAGGGGAATCTGATGCCCTCTTCTGACCTCCAAGAGCATTGTATGACGTGGGTGCACTTAAACATACATTCAGGCAGGCAATATACTCACACACATTTAGTAAAAATGATAAATATTTTTTTAATTGAAGTTGAGCTAAACATAGTAACATGAGACAGCATCTAAAATAAATTTTGGTGGCTACGAACAGTCCTTAACTCCAGTTCCAGGGGAATCCGAAGCCCTATTCTGACCTCCATGGCACTGCACGACACGGGTGCACTCACATACATGCAGGCAATACACTCATACACATAAAATAAAAATAATAAATAAAATATTTAAAATTAAACTTACATCTTCTCTCCCAAAAATTATTCCTAGCTTTTGATTCACTGTTAAAACCAACATTTTACTGACTTATTTTGACTTAACTTCATAAGTCTACCTGGTTTCAATTTCAGTTTTCCCTTCCTGTTCTTCTGTACCATGATTTCCTCAGAAGTGAGTCATAAATTTTGGTGACTGGAACATACTTTCAAGAAAATTTTTAACTTTTTTCTTACTTTTAATAAAATGACATAAAATTTACCATTTCAACCATTCCTAAATGTACCACTTGCTAGTATTTACATTCACATTGTTGTATGACAAATCTCTAAAACCTTTTCATGTTACAAAACTGAAACTCTTCACTGAATGACTCTGTGTCCCCCTCCCCAGCCTCTGGCTCCCTCTATTCTGCTTCCTCTTCTGTGGTCTGACTACTCTAGGCACCTATCCAACTCTCAGAATCCTAGCCTCCTTCAAGGCCCTGATTCCCAGTTGAGAATAATGACTCCTCCTTCTGAGCTCTCCAGATCCCTTCACTGGAACCTTCTTTGGCAGTTAGCCTATCTCTCATATCAATAGCTAAGAGTGAACAGGTCTTACCCTAGCCTCTTGTGTACTGCCTGTCACAGAGTTTGAAAGAACGAATGAGTGAGTGAATCAGGACTTCATTCTCCTATTGGATAAACAAGATGGTTCAGTGAGTATAGGCACTTGCCACAAAAGTCTAGAGACCTGAGTTTGATCCCCAGAACCCATGTAAAGATAAAAAGAGAGAACCAATTCCACAAAGATGTCCTCTGACCTCCATACCCCTACTATGGCATGTGTACACACAGATACACACACACACACACACACACAAACACACACACACACACAAAACTAAACTAATGAAATTTTTAAAAATTTCTCTACTATCTGCTATGCCAGTCACTGGCAGAGGATTTACTTGGGATTTTTTGTTTGGTTGGTTAGTTGGTTTTGTTTTTATGTGTATGAGTGTTTTGCCTGCATGTATCTAAGCACATCCTTGTATGCAATGCCCTTGGCGACCAGAAGAGGGCATTGTATCCCCTGGAACTGGAGTTAAAGATGGTTGTAAGCTGCCATGTCGATGTTGGGAATGGAACCCAAGTCCTGGAAGAACAGCCAGTGCTCCTAACCATTGAGCCATCTCTCCAGCCTCTTTACTTGAGTTTTGAGTCCAGTGTAAAGGCTGAGATGGGCTTTGGGGATAGACCACTGACCTGTACAAACAAGCAGTGTTCTCCTTAACCTCCCTGAAAGGAAGGTTGGTGATTTGGGGTCAGTCAAGGGAGACAGTTTAGACCCAGGAAACTGAATGGGGAGGTGATAAATCTGGGAAAGGTGTTGACCCCCACCACTACACACATCTTACAGTCCACATTCTTGGAATCTTCCAGACACAGCTGCCCTCAGGGAAGGAGGGTGACCCACACCAAGTCTGAGCAACACTCAGAAGTAGCAAAGCTGTGCACCCAACCTTGGTTATTTCTTGAAGAAGAGGGGCCATGGACTCAAAGCAAGGTGGTCTCCATCATTTAAACCATAAGTTTTGCCAGCTTCACAGGGTCAGGCCTTGGACAGCTGGCTTAGTGGTACAGCAGGTGGTGCCTGGGCCGCCTCCCAGGCAGGATGAGGCTGACACTGTCTCTTGTGCCTCGGCAGAAGGACTTCACTGTGCGCGAGGAACTGCAGCAGCAGGACGTGGAACGCTGGCTCGGCTTCATCACCTTCCTGTGCGAGGTGTTCGGCACCATGCGCAGCAGCACGGGAGAGCCCTTCCGAGTGCTGGTGTGCCCCATCTACACGTGCCTCAGGGAGGTAAGAGAACCGGCCCTGCCCCGCCCACGGCAGGTGCTCTGCCCAGATACACAGGGGGAAATATGGGAAAGCAATGAACTTGGATCATGAAAGAATGGATCCTTTGTTTAAAAAAAAGATAATTCCTCATGTGTCTGCTTTGAAAGCCAAGGTTTTATTGAGCTAATATAAGAAGTAAGTTTTAACTTAAGACTTCAAGAATTCCTAATTATCACTTAGAAGATGAGATCTACATTTCAGTAAATGTATCTTTGGGTTGACTTGGTTTACCATTGAATTGTTTGTTTAAAAATTTGTTTGGGGTTGGATAGACCGCTTGTCTAGGCACAGGCCTGGGTTGGATCCTCAGCTCTGGAAAAAAAAAAAAAATTGTTTGTTTGTTTGTTTTTGAAACAGTCTCCTGTAGCCCCAGCTGGCTTAGAACTCACTATATAGACCAGGCTGGCCTCAAACTCACTCAGAGAAATCCATCTGCCTCTGCCTCTCAAGTACACCATCTCACCCAGCCTTCCTTCTTTTTTCTTTTTTCTTTTTTCTTTTTCTTTTTTTTTTTGGCCTTTTTTGAGACAGGGTCTCCCTGTAGCCCCTGTAGCCCCAGCTGTTCTGGAACTCCCTATGTAGACCAGGCTGGCCTTGAACTCACAGAGATCCGCCTGCCTCTGCCTCCCGAGTGCTGGGATTAAAGGCATGCACCACCACGCCCAGGTGCCTTCCTTCTTTTTAAAAATATTTTATTCATTATTTTTATTTTATGTGTATTAGTGTACTGCCTGCATGTAGGTAGGTGCACCCGTGTCATACAATGCCCATGGAGGTCAGAAGAGGGTATCAGATCCCCTGGAACATGGGTGGTTGTTAGCCACCATGTGGGTGCTGGAAATCAAACTCAGGTCTTCTGCAAGAACAGCCAGTGCTTTTAACCACTGAGCCATCTCTTCAACCCCACAGCCTTCCTTCTTAATTTTATCTTAAAAAGTAATAAATAAAAGAGGCCAAGAAACTTCGGAGAAGCAGGAACTCTACAGGTGCTTACCTACCAGATTTCTAAGGCTACAGTGTCATTGTGGGCAAATAGGAGTGGAAAGGGGCAGAAAGGGAATCTGGGAGGCTAGTTGGAAGCCGTTGGTACTGGTCAGGGCAAAGTGAAAGTGGGAAGGCAGCCAAGCGCCCACTAGGAAGGAACAAGCCAGGGATGGGCCTCCAGTGTCCTGAGTGGCAGTCATCAGACTGGGGAGGAGACAGTGGGGAGGAGGAAGTGATGGAATTCCCATTTACCAGCCTAGTGGCCTCATTTTCTGAGGTGGCAGTTTGAGGAAAAGAAGCATTGTAAGGATAAGAGCCAGGAATAGGTCTTGGGACATATATTAGGCTCACCTGTTGACATCCTCGGGAGCTGCCCTAAGGCTGGTGGGCAGAGACTCTAAAGCTCCAGCGGAGGCCACATGAAGGTTGGGAGCTCTTCCTGCTGTGTGTTCATAAGCACTTGGTGCTGGAGACTGGGAACAGGTGGCATCCCAAGAAGACAGTGTGGACTGGGAGATGGTAGAATCATATAGCAGGTGGAGAGGGACCGACGAAGAAGGACACAGGTCAGAAAATGTGATATCAAGAAGGTTCCAGAACAGTATATGAACAGGAGCTGATACCAGCCCTGACTCCACCCATCCTGACCTCTCCCACCCTGGCAGTAGACCTTTGCTGCCACCAGGACACAGGGAGGAAGAGTTTCTGGGGCCAGGACAGAGAAGTGACCTCGGTTTGGCAATAAGGAGGGCCCTGGGCCTCAGTGGTGGAGAGGATAGGTTCTTTGTCACATCTTCTGAGGAAAGCTACAGAGAAAAGGGACCAGGTGGCTGAAGGAGGACAGAGTCAAGGGACATGTTTGTGTTTTTAAACAGGTGATGATGAGCAATTTAAGCAAAAGGAGGAGTGTGCTTTTGTTTGGGCAGCATCCCCTCATAGGATGGTGGTCTGGGCTCAGTGTGTAATGCCCAGAGGACTGGCAACTTGGTCTTTTGTATCCCTTTGGGATGAGTGGAAGGTGGCCTTCTCAGAAGCAGGGAGCTGGGAGACAGCCTCTGAGGACTGTCCATCCTTTTCCATGTGGCCCTGTGCCCCTATGAGCCACCTCAAGACAGGGAGGAATGCTGTTCTAAGACAGTGACCTGAATTGCCCATTCCCCTTGCATGATCTGGACCCCTCCTGTGGTGTTGTCACCTGCTCCCCCAGCAGGAAGCAGGGCTGTAGGGAGTGCTGGCTCTGGCTGCTGGGATACTTTTCACACCACCTAAAGTAGTGCGAACTTTGTGGTGTGAGATCTGGAAGGTGCCAGGAGGTCTGCACAGACAAGGAGCAGAAGGGCCTTCCTAATGCACACTTGTTTGATGCATTTAGTTTTGTAGGAACATTTTGACAAACACAGAGCCACACTGTGCTCATGGTAGTCTTGAACAGTAAACCATCTGTGGTCTTCACCATTTTGTAAAAGAAACCAGAACCCTGAGCATGAGCAGCACCACTGTCTCCAGCTACCCACTGCCTGCATTCACATTTGGCTGACTTTTAGCTGTGCCCTCTTGGGAGAGAAATAGCCTACTCTGAGCTTCCCTCATCTGCAAAAGGGCCTCATAGCACTTTGTATTAGTTACTTTTGCATGGCATAGAGAAGGACGTGTACTGGGCTGGCTAAGAAGGAACATAAGAGTGCCCAGAAGACCCTCTCTGTTTTAGATACCCAAGACTATTCTAGATATCTAATGTATTAGCCCGATTTCTATTACTATAACTAAATACCAGATCCTAAATGTTTTATAAAGAAGAGAGATTTATTTAGCTCACAGTTTCAGAGGCTATGAGTCCAAACACCATGGTTCCAGCTCCACAGGGGCTCCCCTGGATGTGTTACATCATGGTAAATGACATCATGGCACAAAGTGCATGAGAAAGATCACAGAGGGTGATTCAGGGGTCAGACCTGCTCTTTTTATAAGAATCAGGAACTCACTTTACAAGACCAGAATGCACCCCCTTTAGAAGGTAGTACCCCTCGGTGTCCTGATTTCTTCTCATTATGTGCCCCACTTTTGAAAGGTTTCATGCCAGCTCCCAACAGTGCCACACTGAGGACAAACTTCCAACATAAACTCTAGGGAACAAACTACTTCCAAACCATAGCACCTAATGTAGGTGGAATCCTGTGGTACTCCTCCTCCTTGGCTGGCTTTTCACTTAGCATGTCCTCCAAGTTCATCCCCATTGCTGGTATTGTAGGATTTCCTTCTTTTTAAATGCTGAATAGTATCCTATTCTCTTTCATTGTCTCACTGATGAACATTGCAGTTGTTTTGTAGTGTGGCTGTACTCTGACTAGCATTCCAATGAACATGGGAATGAGTACAGATATCTCTTAGAGGTTATGGTTTCTGTTCTTTTGAATAAATCCCAGAAGCAAGACTACTGGGTCATGTAGTGGTTCAGTCTTAGAATGTGCTGAGGGGCGTCAAAAAACTTAGAATTAGCTGGGCATGATGGTGCACGCCTTGAATCCCAGTACTCAAGAGGCAGAAGCAGACAAATCTCTGTGAGTTTGAGACCAGCCTAGGCTGGTCACTACACAGTGAGTTTCCAGGTCAGCCAGGGCTACACAGTGAGACCCTGTCTCAAAAAAGAAAAACAAAAAAATTTACAATTAGTCAAGCATGGAGGTGCACACCTTTAAGACTAGCACTCAGGAGCCAGAGGCAGGTGGATCTTTATGAGTTATAGGCCAGCTTGCTCTACATGGAGAGTTATAGGCCAGCAAGGGCTAGAAGACCTTGGCTATGAGACCCTGTCCCCAAACAACAACAAAAAAACCTTGTTACAATTAATAAACAAGTTCAAAAAAGTCTCAGGATGCAAAATCAGATATGAAAGCCACTTGAATTTCCTATACTAATTGCCCAGGAAGGAAATGGAGAACACGGTACCATCTACAATAGCATTAAAAAGAGTCAGATACTGGGACTGGAGAGATGGCTTAGCGGTTAAGAGCACTTGCTGCTCTTGCAGAGGACCCAGGTTCAGTTCCCAGCACCCACATGGTAGTTAACAGCCATCCATAACTCCAGTTCCAAGAAAGCAGATGCTCTCTTCTGATCTCTGTCGTCAGTGTACAACACGGGTGCAGTTACACCCATGCGGGCAACACACTTATACACATAAAATTAAAGTAATAAAATCCTTTTTTAAATAATCAGATACTTTGAGAAAACTAATGAAGTAAAAAACAACTTACACACTGAGAACTATAAAACATTGTAAAACGATTCAAGAAGATACAGATGACAAAAGATCCTGTGAGCTCTCTGTATCAGCATTCTCTGCCTGTTATCATCCAACCCAGGTCCTCAGAGAAGTTGACTGAGGCCTCCCAGGTAGAAGCCTGACCAACACCCTTCTTCTGTGACCTTTCAAGGGTCTCTGTCCCTCCTCTCCATCCCACTGTCCCCTCTGGGCCCTGGGGATGTTTTCTTAAGACACCTTTCTCTTCACCTCTTACTAGAAGAGCTTTGTTGGAAATTCCTGTAGCAGGGGAGTTTTTCAAGAAAGCTCAGTGCCTGCTTCCCCGCCACTTCCTCTTGCTCCTCCTCCTCCTTCCCTAGAACATCCTACCTTCCTTTTCTCATCCACTGCTTCCCCCTCTCTACCACTAGCTCATCTCCTGCCCTCTTCAGAGTCTGGCAGCCATAGCCAGAGGTCAGGAATCTTGCAGAGGAAGAATGGGGGGCAGTACTTTCTGCCCGAAATCTCTCATCCCGCCTCACCACCTTCCAGCCCCCCCCACACACCTCCCCTTCCATGCTGTTCCTGTAGAAGGGAGTTCTGTAGGAGTCTGCCTGGAAGGGGAGCCCCTCACTACAGACCTGGCAAGCAGCAGTCTGGGCTGTTCCATGGAGCCAAGCACACCTCACACCGGGAGAACAGAGGCCAGCAAGTCATCCTCGTCAGGAAATGAAACTGCTCTGTTCAACAATGAGGGAGACACTTTTTTGAACTTTGTGCGTGAGTCTGCATTCAATTGCTCACATTGTTTTGGCTCCAGGGAAATTTGACCTCGGAAAAGACTGAGATGAAGTGGGCGTGGGTGGAGAGCCTAGGCTATTGCAGGATACTATTCAGGGGCACCTTGCCAGGAGGACCACTCCTACCTTCCCCCAGAGCAGGGGATGGGACTGCTTGGCAGCCTAGCTGGGGCCAAAAGAAGCCTGAGGTAGGCTGTGCTCTGGGCAGCCAGGGATTCCATAGGGAGGGGAGATTTGCTGGCTGGATCCATGGGAAATGATCCTCACCCCGTACCTCTGAAAGTTTTACAAAATCACTAATTCCCAGATTGTTCCTTCCTCCTCCCCTTCACCCAAACTTCCTGGGGATAGGGTTGGGCTGGGGGTGGGGGGATGGAAGTTTTCCAGATTGATTCTGGTTGGTGACCACAGTCAAGTACCAAGAGCAGCTGCATCACCAGTGCATTTAGTGAGCAACTACTGACTAGCCAAAAGCATTGTGGGAGGGCCCAGCCTTAGGACCTGAGACCCAGGTTTGAATCCCAGCAGCTGCACTTCCTAGCTATGGGACTTTAACCTAATATATCAGCTTTTGAACCCTCAAGATTCTTTTCTGTAATATGCAGATATTCTGGGTTGCTTGGTAGGGTGGGGCATTCATGAAAACCAAGCGGCATGGGGCAGCCACATAGTGAACTTATCATAGGCATTGCTCTGGTGCAAATCATATCTCCGGTGTGGCTCAAAAGAAATATCTCATTAAGAGGCCACTAAGGGAAGACCATAGTCCTAACTGGGCATCCAGGCCCCCAGAGTCAGATGCAGTGTCCCTGCCAGGCACACTGCCCCAGTTATATTTCTATGGGCAGATTGGTATTCCTCCTGCCTGGCTCTTACATCCCTTAAAGGCCAGGCTCACTCCTGCTTTTGTGATTTGCAAGCTTTTTTGGCCTCAAATTCATGATCCCATGTCTTAGCCTCCAGAGTTGGGATCATAGAAATGTACCACCAAGCCTAGCAGTTTGTAACTCTTTTTGAAAATGTTGCCTTTATGGGGCTGAAGAGATGGCTCAGTGGTTAAGAACAGTGGCCATTCTTGCAGAAGACCCGGGTTCGAACCCCAACACCCACATGGCAGCTAACAACTGTCCATAACTCCAGTTCCAGGGGATCCGACAGCCTCTTCTGTCCTCTGTGGGCATTGCATGACATGGGTGTACTTACCTACATGCGGGCAATGCATGCATATACATAAAAAAATAAAAATAAAATAAAATATTTAAAAAATTTTGTCTATATTATTTTTATTTTATGTGTATGAGTGTATTGCCTGCATGTATGTATTGCCTTCATGCAGTGGCCACAGAGGTCAGAGAGGGTATCTGATCCCCTGGAACTGGAGTTATGGATGGCTGTTATCTACCAAGTGGGTGCTGGGAACCAAATCTGGGTCCTCTGCAAGAACAGCCAGTGTTCTTAACCACTGAGCCCCTTTAACTCTTTTTTTTAATTAATTATTTATTTTATTTCATGTGTATGAGTGTTTTGCCTACATGTATTTAAGTGTACCCATGTTATACAATGCCCACAGAGGCCAAAGGAGGGCGTTAGAGCCTGGAACTGGAATTACAGACAGTTGTTAACTGCCACATGGGTATTAGGAACTGAACCCAGGTCCTCTGCAAGAGCAGCCAGTGTTCAGAGTTGGAGCCAGCTCTCCAACCCTAGTTTACACTTGGAGCATGCTGTAGAGCTAGTGTCCAGCTAGGGTTGTTGACACCTGTAGTTTGGACTTGTCCTGTGACATCTTGTTGTATTAATGATTTGTGACCCTTTGCCAGTTATCTTTAAATCATTTCATTCTTCCATTGGTACCTCAAGGCTGAGTTTCACTTATCACAGAACCCCAACTGTATTTGACTCAGGAATTAATGTTCATTCTTGATTTTGGGTTTGGGGTTTTGTTTGTTTGAAGCAGGGTCTGATATAGCCCATGCTGGCCTCAAACTCACTGTGTAGCTGAAAGCTACCTTACATTCTTGATCTTCCTGTCCCTACCTCCCTAGTGCTGGAATTACAGGCTTGCATCACTACCCCAGGCCGTGTCATGCTTGAAGCAATGATTTTGTCTGACACCAAGCTTCTTTCCTACTGAACTACAAGGTTTTCTTAGTAGCTCTAGAAAGAGGCACTGTGATCCCCATCTCCTTCCACAGGGCAACCACATCTGCAGAAATTACATAGAACAGGTATGGTGGACCATAAGCTGGATAAATATAGGGGAAAGAGGGTAGCTGAAGGGTAGGGAACTCCTGGGGACAAAGAGGAGGTGCTCACCAGAGGCATTCTGGTATAGCAAGGTGACTCCCAAGAGCCTCTAAAAGTTTTAACTCTGAAAGCAACACTGGAAAGGAGTTTATGCATTCATTCAACTAACAGTGGTAAAAACATTGCTTCCTTGCTGATCTGAAATGTACTAAAGTCACCTAAATTTGGAGCCAGGGGATTCTGGGGAACTCAGTGCTGTGTGAAAATGATGCTCCGAATATGGAGACTTAGAGAATGGAGGAACCCTAGAGCCGGCTTAGCAGAGGATAGACTCTAGTGCCTAGTTTTCTTGACGTGTTTGTGCTTCTGTACTGTAACAGTCGAACAGGATGTGAAGAGTGGAAACAAAGCCTGAACACCAGGAAACTCTTTCTTCTTGAATAGTTTCTTTCAGCCCTAATCTTAGGCACAGAGTCCATGCAGAATGTTCCTCTGACCATGAAGGCCCTGGGCACTTTGGGTTTACCATCAGGGTCCCTACAGGCCACAGCTGCCGCTATGAATACCCAGGCTTAAGCCACCATTCCTGGAACCGTGCTGAAATAACCCCCACATACGTAGTCTCCCCTCCCCACCCATTTGTTCCCCCTCTTTTGCTTGGCACACACAACAAGCCACTCTTGGTATGATGCTGACCCTGCTCAGAATCCCCCCAGACACACGCATGCACACACAGAGGCGGCCCCTGTGAGGCTGCCTCAGAATAAAATAGGAGTCTCCCACCCAGCCCACCAACCTCCCCATCCTCTCACCACTCCCACCCCATAACTGTTCCACTTCCTTAGCCAGGCTCTGCACACTGAAATGTGAAATTTGAAGCCAGTGTTCCCCTTAGCAACCATGGTAACACAGGATCTGATAGAGAGCCTACAGTTACAAAAATACCAGCTTCTACCAGACACTGGTTTTCAAAGGGAAACCAGTCTCCACTCCAGAACCATTTTTAAACCTTCAAACTCCAAGGATGGCCAGAGTACAGTGTGCTAGGCTGTCTGTCCCAAGAGGCTGTCCCAGGAGGTGAGCTCCATATTCTCTTCTGGAAAGTGGTATGAGATGGCTTTGGGAGATTTCTCCAAAACACAGTCAGAATACCTGCAGCTCAGTGAAGGGTGAAATAGCCCTATGAAGGGTATCTTGGCAGGGGCATTTTTCCTAATAGCATCAGCTGTTAAAATCAGGTTGAGTGGCAGAGCCTGGTGACCTCTACCCTTCCAGGTCTCTCCCAGGTCCCTCCCAGGGAGCCCTCAACTCCATCCTGACCAACCATGGGACAATGACTTGATCTTTCACCCCTTTGTGAAAAACTATCTTCATTCACATATCAGGAATTCTACATTTAAGGCTTTCAGTAGGGAGGGGAGATACGGAGTCGTTGAAACTTTTTCACTCACGATCAAGTTAAAAGGCTTGCATCTTATACCCAGTCCTGGGTGGGCTACAAGCTTCTGTTCTCAGTGCTCTCTGTAGGAGGTATTGGCCTTAGACTGAAGCAGGAACCAAGGTGTCTTCTCACCCAGCCTCCTGCCTGGCCACCCTTTAGCTCCACCCTCTTTAGTGACAGCCTCCCCCTGCCCTCCTCTCCAGCTCCTCCTGCCTTTTGTCTCCTGTGGCCATGCCTTGTAATTTTAAAAATATTCTAACACAGTAATTAATGTCTAAACTTCAGGAGGCCCCCACTTCTCCAGAGCCAGCTGAAGGCAGGCCAGGATGGGGATGTAAATGTGGAAAAGCTAAAAGGGGATGTAGATTTATTTTTTTCTAACTGGTCCTTTAGCTTAGCTGGACTGTACAGATAGGATTCTAGCTGGCTGGAGTTGTGGGTACAAGATACACATGGATACATATACTTGCATCTGTCTAGACTTACAGGTACTTGGGGGTTGAAACCACATGTGGGTGCCCCCACCCCATGGCCAGGCTGATGACAGGGTCCCCTCAGCTCAGCAAACTTGGGAACACTAGGGAGCCAGACAGGACCACTTTCTAAAGGCAGTTGAAGAGGGGAGGGAGGGAGGGTCAGAGAGGGAAGAGAAAGGAGAGGGGGAAGGAGGGAAAGAGGGAGTGGGGAAGGAAGGAAAGGGGGAGAGAGAGACAGAGACAGAGAGAAATGGCTCAGCAGGTTAAGGCAGCTGCCACCAAACCTGAACACCTGATCTTAATACCCAGACTCTGCATAGTGGAAAGAGAGAATTGACTCATTCAAGTTATCCTTTGACTTCTACATGTGTATAGTTGTTTACACACATGTGCACATGTGTGTGTGCATATACAATACACTTAAAATGTAATAAAAATAAAATAAAAGATAGTAAGTCAAGAACTGTGGAGGTAAAACATTCATATAGCACAGAGGTCAAAGGGTAAAGCTTGCCTGCTTCCCATTTTGGACAGCTGAAACTGACTCCCAGCCTTCTCCCCCAACCCTCCTTATGGTCTGGCATCTGTCCCACCCAGCTTCGTGCTCCCATACAGGGACCCTCTACCAGCCTTTGTGATGCCCAGAAGTGGCCCTGGGTAAGAACATGCCTGGCCCCTGCCCTTCTAGAGGTACTGTTTTTCTGAAGGGGAAGGAAAACACAGAGAATACTCAGGAGGCTAAGGCAAGAGGATCAAGAGTTCAAACCTGACTGCAGAGTGAGTCCAAAGCCCCTCTAAAC